TTTTGAATCGTTCAGCATAATAGCAGCAATAAAATCAAGTGACTTTGAGAAATAATGCGTAGATAATGCTTAGAGAAAGATACCGTTTGATTCGTGCATCGGACCATATGTTTAAGTCTCGTTATTATTTTCAAGTGATAGTTATCACTTACTTTCGGATAGTGCCATTGAATAAGTGAACGTTATTAACAGAATAGATGAGAGTAATGTTCATAAGATGATGGGTCATTTATTAAATTGGAACAATGCTTAGGGTATTCGATGGAATGAAGACAATTATAAATGATGGATAACAGTTCGTAACAAGAAACCACATAAGTGCCACAAAAAAAGTTGCGAATTAAAGTGGCTGTTGCAGTGATGTGATGCATCGATTCTATCCATATGGTTCGTCTATTAATGAAAATATTTTTATTCGAATTCATAAGAATTATTCTTTTTGTAGGGACCATCTTCTTGCACAAGTCTCTTGATAGCACATTGGTTGAATGTTCTTTGTTAGATTCATGTCAAAACAACTGATCAACCATTGATTTGCCAGTGTTGTCATGCTCTTACTGTAATACTTGAAAACGAGTACATGATTTTGAACATTGCTCATAGAAATAATTTAAGTTGGAATAGCCAATGGATGAAGTGTATTCATTAAGAAAATAATTCGTTGTGAATAATGCGGAATGCAAAATGAAAAGAAAAAATGTTTTCAGTTAATAAATCACTTTAAACTCGAGTCGTTTTGAAATGATTGAATTTGTTTTGGAGTGCACAAATTTGTGGTGGTGCTATGTACATGGATGCGTAGTTGCTCAATTTAGAGATTCTCGTGAAACTTCAAAGAAACGCCGACAAATGAAGCCATTTGATTTGCGAAGCGGTTATTTATGGGTAGGCGGCCATTTGTGTGCTAGTTGAACAGTTTTCGCAACATCATTGATTGCTTCCCTATTCGGGGTTGGTTTATCACAGAGGAATTTTCGGTTTGAAGCTTCCCCGATGAGAATTGCCGAAATAACTCAAATTTGTGTTTAGTCAGCTGTATAATCTTCATTTGTTCACCTTTTATGCAAATCGTTAGTTCATTTCTCTCTGGTGAAACTGACGTCAAATTCTGTTTAAAAAGTCATAAAGATTCAAGAATTCGTAATTATAACTTCGTTAAGTGCTGAACTGCAAATGCAATATTGTTCTTTAATGTTATCGTCATTACCCAGTTGATCAAAGATGCGACATTTGAGAAGAAATAGAAAAAAATAAATTTATTTGAAGAGACCCAATTAAACTAAGGGAAAAAATATCTGATAAAGATCGTCGTTTCGCTGAAGCATATTGGCGAACATTGCTCTAAAATACTCACTATTGGCCATGTCTTTTGATCATCGCAATTAAAACGAAGCACAATGCTGCTCTACTGGCTGATTGGCTATTAATCGTCACCTAACATTTCATGAGATACAGCTTCATGTGAATAACAAATTAACTCGTTCTACACACCAAAACTACTACAACACTAATTGTTCACGACCTTTCGTAGATAAGCGATCAATGATTCCATTATCTGCTTGAAATTTTATCTCAGCAACACAATCTAATGCATTCGTGCATATTACAAAAATCATCTTTCATTATATGAAGACATTTCAAATTACAAAAATCACCTTTTAAATGAACTTGTGAGTGAAGTGAACAACGTCAAACCTCAATCGCTGTTTGGGTGGTCTTTCTCTTTAGTGATTTTACAATCGTTTTCGTAACAATTGCTGGATTGTCAATCGCAATCTGAATGGTAAATGCTCAAATTTGAGCATTGCTTTATTCGATGGATTACAGATCATCCAAATATTTTGAATATCTTTATTTTCGAAAAATATTAATTTCTAGCGATTGAGATTTTCATGGTACAATAGCAACCGTTGCGTTGTCGTCCTGTCTGATCTGGCTAGGCTCAAAAGCGTGAGTTTGAAAAAAGCTCATAGTCAGTCGGATGAGACGGGCTACATTCACAGCTTGCAAATTGCAATAGTTTCTCTCTCAGTCCCCCTTTTCACGGTGTGCATCTGTTGTGCAGAGGATAGTGAACATATGGGTGTTCTAATCTCACCGATGGGTTGTTTGACGTCTATCTCGTCATTAGAAAAAAATTGTCGTATTCGCGAAATAAACGGATGAACGAACGCATTTATGCAGCAATTCAGTGTAGTTTGCTCATCGAATTATTTACATTTGTATGTTCTCGCTAAAAGGAGAGGAGGCCTGAGCTTGATATAATACTTAATGAGTGTTTGATGTCGACGTATGCACATTGCCTATTGAATGTAATTTCGACGACTGAACAATGACGTCACAACGACCACTTCAGATGACGACGATCGATAGATGAAAAACCATTAATGTGCACTCATCACTCAGACGTGATGACGAGAAACGAAATGAATGTGTGTAAAATAGATGCATTTGCTTAATCGATAAGTGTGGCATTACGGATACTGCGCATGAAAGCTCACCTCAAATACATCTCGGTTCAGTGGCTACAGTTTGAGTTGTGCACAAAATTTTGCACGTAAACTTGACTCTGTTAACGTGAGGCTACTTCGGCTTAGGTTCAGTTTCAATTGAATTGCTGAAAGTCCAGCGCATATTCGCAAACGTGAATGCTATCTATCTCTCAGAGATTGTTTTATGAGTTGTTTTGACCACTGCATAAAGAGTTGCCTCAAAGGAAATGTTAAGGTGATAGTGGATTTTAAGGAATAGAGCAAGCTGATAAGTAGAGAAAGAGGAACAGACGTTGAGTTACTTGGGCTAGCAGCAATAACGGAGTATAATAAAGGTTGATTAATGAAGAGTTTAGAGTAATCGCTTCAGTCAACTCAAATACGGACAGAAATTCACCTGCAGAATTTCGAAAAGTTCTATCATTACGATTGAAACAATTACGGTTGAAAGAATCATCCAATTTCTTTTGGTCATCAGTGTACGCCTACCACCACAACAGTCATACTAATGAGTGGTTCTCTTTCATATTGATTGAATAAATTTGATGGTACAAACTTGTGTTAATGGCAGAACTTGAAGCATCATCACTTCCAGAAGTGAATTCTATTCATTCATTTCCCAATTGTATTTTTCGTTATTCACGCCAGGGTAATTAACTGCATGTGGCAAATGAACTGCAAGAGCCGTTATTTATGGTGGAGACTGCAAGGCGTCGATGGTGGTGTAAAAATCACTCGATGAAGTGTTACGAAGGGCTTTTATTGAGGCATTTTTCGTGATCCATTATAATTATAGTCAAACAGTCATTCGTGCCAATGACTCTTTTTGCTGTAGCACTAAGGCAATTAAAGGAAGCTGTTTTTTTCCTAGTTGAATAGTTCGATGGTCTAGCAGAGGCTGGCTTTAATCGTGCCATAGCGTTCCCAGTGAAGAAAACTGACTTTCACGGTGGAGCATTTCTTCGTCTGCAAGAGGTTTGCTTGAGTACATGTTGAATTCTAAGGGCGAAATTCAGTACCGAAGGCTATATATATTAGTGCAGTGATGTAGCTGTAATTCTGTAAGCAGATAAGATTATGATCATCAGAAGCCATCCGACTGTCGCTGTGGATGAAACTCTACCATCGGAATTGATCAGAAAAATATAAAAATTATTGTCTTGCTTTGAAGTTTCCAGCTCTGCTTTAATTTCTTCATTTCGTATTCTAATCGGTCAAAAAAGTGTGAAAAACTGTGAAAAATTCTATTCACAGTTCCAGTCGAGTGGATTATAAACTTTAAGAATCTCATTCATTTGGCTATGTCCCTGTGATCGCTTATTGTGTGCTTTTTACACGGCTGAACCATGAAAAAACCGAAATTTCAAAAGATAAACATCTTCGAGGCGAAAATGACTTGGATTGTGATGAACAAGAATTTATTCATTAGCTATTATTGAATTCTTTAAATAACAGCTGTTAAACAAGAAAATTATTTGTTAGAAATGTCATAGTATAATGAAATATTATTCTCTTTTAGAGTGTGTCGTTCGCTCGATATGGAGCAGTAAGCTTTTCGTGATACGCAACTTAGTTGAGACAGTATACGAGCTAATGCTGACGTCCGATGACGTTGTACGCCTCTTTAAGGCGTGTCACATAGACCGCATGATATATCTAGAGGCTTGACAGATAGCTGGATGGATATTGCTTGGATCAATGCAAGGTGCTGCCTCACTCATGGACAACATGCTCGCTCCACTCGGCTGCCTCCTCTTAGCTTCTCTTACATATGCCAATGAAATCACCGAACTGCGTATGCCGGGTGCTGAACCCGTACTGGTATGTATTACCAGATCTTGTTTCATATCATCTGATCAAATTTGAATTATTCAAAATGAAAGGATGCTATTTCAGAATGATTCCTATCTGTGTACATCGCTTCCGCTTGACATCAACACTGAACACTACTTGCGTAAGTAGAATTTTAAATAGAATCAGTCGACTTGAAATGCGTTTTTTTTTTCATGCTGTATGCTTCTGAAGGTTTATCCATTTCGTGTAGCCATTCTGTTCATACGAACAATGAATGATAGCTGTTGTTATCAACAAAAGTTCCCGTCTTAGATTTACATAAATGCATTAGAACAATTCGATAAAATCAAAGTCCATCATAATACGTCCAATCAAAACTATTTCACTTCTTTCATTCATTCCATTTGCATCCTTCAGAACGCTACTCTAATAGCAAAACTGCATGAAAGAGACAATAAACTCTTGTTTGAATCATTGATCAATCATTCTGAGACGTACCAACTTTTACGTCACTGAATAACAAAAGTTAATGTACAATGCATTTTCAAGCTACTATGACATGTTTCCTTTCCTATATAATTAAGTTCGGAGTAATCGGCAAAGAAATGTTACTGAATGTGATGATGAACATGATTGCAGTTAGTTTCAAACCATTCGCAACTATGCAAAAAGCTCATCATATGCTGTTATTTGGCTGCGATGAACCAGGCAGCGATGAAGCTATTTGGTTGGTTTTATTGTCAGCAATCGTGACTGAACATAGCAAATCTCACCTCATCATAATGTTGATTGTGAACAATATTCTGTGAAGTGCTGAAATGAAAAGTTGGATGGAAATTAAGAATTGTTTCATTGAAGGGATTGCGGTGAAATGACAAATGCTGGACCAAGTTTTGAACGAGCGCCAACCTGCAAAAATAAACCAAACATTCTTTATGCTTGGGGTAGAGACGCCCCTGAACTGCACCTTCCTGAAGGTTTGTTCTTTAATCTTCAAAGCTACCGTTCAATTATTAGTTGAATTTCGTTTGCTTTGCAAACTCGCGAACAATAAAGTTGCGCTCTTCGAATATTCTATGCATTCATTTATCAGAAACTGTCTGAAGGAGCTTTAATCATTTGATCGACGAATTCGAATATCTTTCTCATTCATGTTTGCTTGCCTTCCCTAATTGCTGTCTCAATGAATTTTTTAGTAAAATTATCTCGCCAAACGAAAATGAAAGAAAGCATTTGCCATTTATCAGACCTCATGCATTACCGTAGGTTCGTTGCCTCAAAGTACATTCATTCAGCAAAAGTCTCTGCTGTATATCTTCATTTGAATGCTCCTTTAGATAAGATGTTTGCACAACTATCCTTAGTTGAATTCCGATAAACGTATTTTAATGCTGCTATCAATATCAGCAACTGAATAAAATAGTTCTTGTCACAGCTGTACTAAAGTAGGTGGATAAGCCCAACGTATTCTTCTCGTAATACATTTCTCTAAAAAATCACAACTCACTTGTATTTTCACAAATTCAAACAAATGAGTGATTGTGTACTCTACATATGCATATATTTAAAGTGCAGCACCTGCTAAATGTAACATGACTAATTGTAACCTGCTAATTGTAGCATTACTCAGAAAATGACAACTTATTGTAAATGCACACCAATAAGTAGAAGTTAAATGCCTTTCTTGAAGTGATATGTTGATTTGTGCTCGCTGAAATACGGTAGTCGTCTCTCTCAATGACGTCACTTATTGCAGTTGATATATGCGGAACATAAAAACGGCATCTATCGCAGATGCATTATTGCGTCAATGGATCACCACGGTTTTACAGTGACATGCACAAATAATGAAGAAAAAATACATATCCATTTAGATGATTAGTTGTAAGCAATCAGATGAGCAAAATGATTCGTTTGATGCGATCAGATAAGCATCATTCGTGGAACAATGTGATTCCGCTGTATGTTCATTTGAATGCTCCTTTAGATGAGATATTTGCACAACTACGAGATGGTGAGCAAAAGATGTTGATATTAAAAAAGGCATTGGATATTTTATATACATATGCTCATTCGATTACAACTTATATCTGAAAAATAAAACGTTTCAAGCTGAGGTTCTGCTATCGCGAATACGGCTGATTTGAATTTAGCGTGATTTAAAACCTAATCGATCACTCATTGGGATCAGCTTCAATAATCCGATTTCATAAGAATGACTATTTATTTTATTGTTAGTGATTTGTTCTCTATTCTAAAACAGCAACAGCTGATCATCATGACACATAAGCTTAAAAGCGTGAAACAGTATCTTGAACGGCGGATTGCGGTATATTTCCAAGCAATCAAGTTCAAGAATTTATATACACGAATGGAGAGAATCTAATTGAAATAACAAAAATAACAAGAATCTAGAAGTTGGTCAACTTCGATATAAGCAACCGTTTTGAGGTGTTGGATTCAAGGTTGGTGGTGAATCAGATATTAGGTATTTGGTCCTTCAAGTTCACTACATGAAAAAATTGGGACCTGATTATTCTGGAGTCGCGATTGAATCAACTGTTGAGCCAATGGAGAAAACCGCCTCCACTTTGCTTATGGTCACTGGTGGTGTTCTTCCTGCAAACAAGAAAGGTACGCTCACTCACACCAGTCACTAACTTTTACTTTTGCAATACGACCAAATAAGTAACACAAATGGTTGAATTTCATATATAAATATGTTCTTGCTTCGTTTCGAATGATATCATCAAATTGCTTTACTACGATAAATCGCACTCTGATTGTCCAACTTGCTTGAATATTTTATGTATATTCTTAGTTGAACATTTATAACAATTTCTGCTTACTCACTCATTTTAAATGGCCGTTCGTTATTAATGAGAAACAATCCTAGAAACTTTTGAAACGGCGTGCATCGTTGATGAGGATGTCGAAATGCATCCGTTTGCCTTTCGTACTCATACGCATCGTCATGGAACTTCGGTATGTTTGAATTCCACTTAGGAAAATGAGTTGAATGTGTATTACTGCTACCGCAAATACACAATACAATTCTCATTCTTGATCATAAACCCAGTAAACGTACCACGTTCACAAATTTTGAACAGTCACTTTTCTCATCGCTCAAAAATGATTAAACATTTCAAAATGGGTGTGAAAGAACAAAACGCGAGAGTATAAACGTTTGAGCAGATCAGCTGAGGAATGTTGTTCAATTGAAAAGATGTACCTCGTAATTTGAAAATTGTTCAAAGATCATAATAAAGGATTGTTTGTAAGCTGGGAAAATCTCACAAGCTGAGCATCTACCTACAGAGTTTAAACACTGTGAAGTGTGATGCAAATACTTTAAATTCATGTTCATTTTTATGGGCACTGATTATGACAAAATCACTTATCGAAGTAAACAAAAGTGAATGAAGTTAGCACATGAATTTTGAGGTGGCTGCATGGGTAGTACGTGAACAACCAGATGGAACTGATAAATGGCAATTAATTGGTGAGAGGAATCCTCTGCTTCCACAAATGTTTGCGCCAGCCAATAACACTAATATTGTGATCCGTCAAGGCGATATGGTATGATGGTCATAAATCTTTATTATGTTCACTTCGTATTTATCTTTATAATTTCAGTAGTATATTGCATTCGTACATTACTTTGAATCTACATTGAAGTGTACGTAGAAGTAAATTAGATAACGCTTCATCCTCATTTTTCCTGTTTTCCCACACAGCATTAATTGACTAGTATCAGCTGCACTCTTCAACCAAAAGGCTCTCAGCTAAGCAGTTCAAATTGAAGTAACATTATCTCATATTGATTCTTTCATGCGGACTCCCCAATGACAAACTTTATCTGGAATGATATTTTAAATTCACTGCATTCAGAGACATTTCGCATGGCTGAATATACAATTTCAGAGGCTGAAGCAAATCGTCGAACAGGCATATGATACGTCCCTAACTTCCCAGTGGACATTTCCTAACTAAAAATTCCAACTGGCAACAAAGCTCTTATCACAACTTCTTTGAATTCCTTAGTCTTATCCCTAATGATTTTCGCGTGCTCACATGACTGCCATCGGTTCATCAACAAGTCGGTTCTGAGACTTCCGAACATAGCAGTGAATCTTGATTCATTTGTGGAAGGAAATGCATAGAACACTAGTAAACTCTGGAAGTAGACTTCACTCTTGCCCAGAGTTGGATTCAGAGGTCTCAAATCCACATATTTTTTCTGTGAATCGGGACCCAGCAGAGCATTATTGCATTTGCGATAAGCAATAAAGATTTTTAAAAAGTTATAAAAAGATTGTACTAAGTGATGATGTACTAAAAGTGATATGATTAGGTACTAAAAGTGAAATTAAATGCAGTCAAAATGCGGATATGATCATCAATACAAATAATTCAAGAAGATGAATGATTTTAGATAGCATCACGTTGTGTGATGGTCAATAAAGAAAATAAAGCGTTCATAATGGGGAATACTGGCGAAGATGAGATGTGCAACTATTACCTGATGTACTGGGTCTACGGTGATAATGTGCTTAAGTAAGTCCATCGTCGATTCCTAACTTAGGCAGATCAGATTCGTCTTTGTGTGTGCTGATCTGCACGGAGTGGTCCCAGTGATTACGCGTTGATAAAAACTGGTTATGTTAACCAACTTCAGTCGGCTGAATTCAACGAATTTCGGTTGCGATTCCCATATTCGGATTCCGACCGAAGAATTTTGAAATTCGGTCGAAATACTGAGTTTCGGAATGTTGAAAAGCCAATTCGTTAGATTCCAACCGAACTGAAATTTCGTTTAGGTGCCATCTTTAACACGAACCCTTTTTTTTCACATTTTTGCGTACTCAATAAGAATACAACCTACAATAGTTGCATGTGCAAAATTATCGAAATAGAAGATATTTTCAACAAGATCGTTAACGTTTATTATAAGAGTGAATGATGTATCAAAGCAGCATTGATAAAACATCAATCATTAGTTAACTGATGACACATCCAGATGATTCCTGTCCTTAAAAATGAAGTAATCTCATTGAAGTGCACTCATAGGGAAGTCATTCATTTTCAAGAAAGCTGTCAGCTTGATGCCAGTAAAAGTTGGATTGCTTTGGTCTCAAAAATTGAACTGTCCCAACGGTCATCGATTTGAAAGTAGAATTTTAAAAAAATTGCCGTCATCAATTTCAGATAAAGGTTTCTCAGGAGATTGTTAGCATTGTTGGTGTTCTTAAATTGTTATTTAGAAGTGATAAGAGCTGTAAAAATTTCAGAGATAACACGTGTTATTCACCCGGAGCACCGGAATATCATTGGGCAACAGAAGCTGGACTCAACAACTTACCCCCAGCAAAATAATTTAAATGATCAACAACACAAACTTTCAACTATCATTCAATATCAACCCACTATCACTGCTCCACATCTTTCATCAGCACTTGCTGATCACATTTATTATTTTCTCTATTGTTTTCGTCACAACTATCCTTCATTATCAACTATACGAGTCAATATGTGCACAGCAGTTCGACTGAGTACTTGTTGTAAATCTCAAACGAACGCTTGCCAGTAATCCCTTTTAATATCTCATCCAGAAGCCTTCTCTTATGGAACGTTTACTTTATCATTTCGATGTGAAAATTTGCGAGGTTGAGGTGTATTGCGTTTGTGTACTTAACTTATAGCATGCTATCTACTAATCAGAGTTTTAAATGTTATAATGAAAGTGAATAAATGACAGTTACTGTTCACTGAGAGGATAACGCTCAAAAGTTCAACCAAACTGCGACGTTTGAAACAAATGCAAAAAACGTTTCGTTTGGATTATTAGATTTTCCGAGTGATGAGCGTTACGGAATTTGCTGTATAGCATATATCACTTTCTTATAATCTTGACAAATTGTACGATCAATTTTTGATTGTTAGTTTTGATGAATCAATACTACCGAAACGGAAAACACTCCGTCTCGATAGTACAATTTTCCGATTTGATACTGCAACATTACAGACCTCAATCAGACCCGACGTCTCATCACAGATCACACTGAAGAAACAATCAAACTGATGGTTATCATTTATGCTCGTACATTCATCAAATATAAACAAATCCTTTATTGAAACAAATGCTGGAAAAAATTAGAAGCAGATCTGAAAATATTTTGATGATGCGGAAAAAAACAAAGTGCGCGACAGCATTTGTAGCAGAGAACCGAGGAGTGAATGTTGAAAATGTGGTGTTTTACGGATAGTTGTTTGCTTACTTGAACGGATTGAATCTAAATTAACTTACATATCTCTACTGCTTTTTAGAATTAATGGAACGAAGCAAGCAGTAACTAAAATAAAAGTTTGCTATTTTCAACAAAGATCTATTGGCTTTACGCATTCATGAAGGAGATCAGAGTGAAAAACTTCCACAGAGAGAACAACAACAAAATAGCTTATTGATAATTCATTCATCAACAACAAAATATAAAGAGACTACTGAAACGAGGCGACGAATTAGGGACAATTCGATAAAAAATGAGCAATCACAATTCAATATGTAGATAGCAAATGTTAAGAATAATCAATTATCACAAACAACAAAGCAGTTAATTGTCTCCAGAAAGTGATTCGCGTAAAGCGATTAATAATTCGATGGCTTGTTGTACATCGCCTCCGGTCTCTTCCAATGCACGAATGTTTTGTTGCAGATCCGTAAAACCGAATTCACTCAACTCGGCCATTTCGCTAGAAAATCGCGACGTGCTGCTTTCAGCAACTAGCGGATTGCTCGCAGAAGTTGACGCGTTACCCGTTGATCCATTAGCCGATGAAGAATTCATTGTACGAAAAACTTGCTCCATTGCCTTGAAATGTTTTATTGGCATTACTTATAGATAGTTATTGAATCATTTCGTTGCACACGAACGTTCTCTTTACACTTAGAAACGTCAAAACAAAACTGATAAATAGGTATCCAACTTTCGGACATGAAAACAAACAACGCCACTGCAGGTTGCTCCTGTGGATTAACTGAAATGAAGGCAATTCACAAAAACAGTTGATTTTTCGCTTGAAAATAAATTTATGAATCGACTCAATATTCTTCATATACGGACAGCAAACCTCTTGAAGCATCTGTGAAGTTATGATGGGTGCAGGCCCAGTTGGTGTACTAGGAGCATCTTGAGCCATTTCAACATCTCTCTCACCAGGACTCTGTGCTGACCGTACTGGGATTATTTCACAGAACAATTGATAAATAGCCTCAACTATCACCTAAACATTCATGGAAATGTTATATTCTTGATGACGGTTTTTGTGTGATCAATGAAAATAAGACTGTCATGAGTGCTAAAGCATTAAGAAAAAGTGATTGTTAAGGATATAGTTAACGAAACCGAAACATTCTGAATGAATCTTACTGGATGTGCTTTAATGAATGTTTCATCCTCTTCATCCAACAACCAACCGATCAGAACGTAATCACGAAGTGCAGCACAAGCCTGAATGTCGTCCTTTAATGTAGGAACTCGATCGCTGAGATGTTCAATTAGATCATCTCTTGCAAGCTCTCTAACAACCTGAAATAGAAAACAACCAATTGCTCATCTATGATCAACATTCACAAACAACGATAATTTTTCCTTCTACAAATGAGTTGCAACAGTTAGAGTGCCAAATAAAATAAAACAAAAGAAGAGTACACAAATATGAATAATCAATCAACTGATCGAATACACGATCAATGTGCGAATCAGAATCAGCTCAATAGAATTAGCCCTGCAAAGAAATATTCACTGATAAATGTTATACCTTCAGACGATATGATCGAGAAAGACGCAACTTCGACAGTACTTTACGGCAATATTCTAACTTAATCGCATCATGCTCAATAACAACTGCCGCAGCCATCTGTGGACGTCTCATCAAGTAAACCGTACTGCCACTTTTCAAGCCATTAACGTCGCACAGTTTTTCATCATCCGCAATTATTTTGCCCAGAAAAACGAGACCTGAACGAACAAAACCGTCCGGCCTCATATAAATCTGCTTGCATTCTCTCCCGCCCACCCTTATTAGAGGGTTTTATGCTCGTTTGGTGATGGTGACCAACAATTAGATTTTCAATTAATAATATAATCATCACCAGTGTCATAAATATTCTAAAATGCCTCGATCATAATGAAGCTAATTCGTTGCATCATGAATGCAGACATGGAAAAAATTATTGAATGCAGACTAATGAAGAATGGAAACAAACATGAAGAAGGACGATACTCGGGATTTGTAACGAATTCGTCGATAATCTCTGATGCGTTTAATTGAATATCGAATGGACGGCATTTTGACTCAGCACCACATTCCACTGATCGAACGTTTATCATTGTCAATCCTCGTTCGCAATATCTGAACGTATTAATGCAAGAACGTTACACTTAAACCTTTTCAACTATTCGTTCCTTCCCCTCAAAGATTATCTAAAAACTATAAAAGATGACGCCCGAAAATATCCAATCGCTTCAAAATTTTCATTTCTCATTTCTAGTTCATCCATTAATTTGCTCAAAATCGTTTGCATTCATTTGCTGTTATCTATGGTTCGATATTCGTATGTCTTCAGTGAATGAAAAATTGCTTGCTTGATAGTGCAACAACTCGAATAAGAGAACCTTAACAAAAGGAGCGAATAATCAGTGAAGTTTCTTAACATCTACTTTAATTGTTCTATGAGTATGAATAAGAATGAGAAATTCGTTTGAATTGTTTCCGGAATGTGAATCTTTTTATGAATAAATGGATTCGAATTCAAATAACAACACATTTATTACATTCTCAATATTCAAACCACTGACTTCAAGAAAACTATCTACAATACCTAATGGATGCGTATAAAAATAAGTCATGATTTGCTTTCACGGAGCACTCGACATTTCAAATAATTTCCGTTATCAAAAAAGGAATATTTTAGAGTCGGAAATGAACCGTTCAGAGAGTGAGATACAGATAAAACTCATCAATGAATCAAAACTTTTATCATGAATAAACGAACATAAATGTTTGATTGAATACAATCAACTCACAGAATAAATCTGATGTAAAGAGAATTATTCAATATTATATTTATGCAACCATCGCGATACTAATGATTTACATCAAGAATAAATTCAAAAATTTATCACATTTGATCGCACAATAACAAGGATTTCTCATCATTGCACAATGTTGAGAATTTTTTGATTCAGCGGATTGTCAGGTGACTTTTGCCATTCTTTCTTTAGCAATTGCTTTAGCTGGGATAATCGGAAGGTTGGGTGCTCCTCCTTCAAACGTGGCATTAAACGTTCCTCGAATGCCTGAATCAGAGCTCATTTCATCTTTTGGAATCATGACAACAAAAGCACGATTCTCAAAATCTGATAAACTGCATGATAGATGATATAAGATGATCTGAATGACAGATGCGGATGAACGATTTGGACAACTGCTTAACAGTTCTTCGATAAAACTCAAAGGAAAAAAATTAACAACAAAAAATAACGAATTAGTTTTTTTTTAATACAAAAATATTTGAAGTAATAAAAAGTTGAATATTTGAAGAAGTAATAAAAAGTTAAATGGAACACAAAAATACCAAATAAGCAGCTTTCATCCGTTTTTCTGGATGCCTGTCTACAGAATCACCATCCGTAGAAAGTAACTGAATGGCTTCCGTCACTGAACGAGCTGTTTCACCGTCTGTCTAGAATGAGCAGAAGAATGCTGATGAATCGTGTTTATTGTCGATTTTATTGTACTCTTATCGAAGATTTTCAAAGTTAGTTATGAACTCAGAGAAAATTAAAATTATTATTGTCAGCGCCACTTTCTGCTTACTCCATACTGAATTCACATTAAAATATTTAAGATTCACTTGTCGGGAAAAAAAAGGCTTACTTCGAGTCGATTCACGTTCTCTTCGAGTTCTCCATCCTCAGACTCGATTTTCTTCTCCTTCAAAAGTCTTTCTTTCGCTTCTTCTTTTCGTTGCTCTTCTTCAAGACGCTTCACTGCCTCGATATGTGCTTGTGTTACCTGAATTCCAACCGCTAACAATTAGCCGATGATCAAACAATGTACACCTCATCATTCTATGAGTGAAATTGCAACGAATTCATTCGACTTCGAACGAACCACGCGCATTATGAATGCCAGTTCTTGCTTCAAACGTATGTCACAAAACCGAATAAATAAATCGCTTTCGTGTGCTACGCATATTCATAACACTTCCAGTCAGAGATAAGCAATGGCGCTAACTAGCGAAATATCTGGTTCGCCAGTAGTGGAACAGATATATCGCTAACTTTCGACAACTACCGATACTGCGCTATTGCCCATCGCTGCTTCTAGTGAAATGAATGTGATTTCTGATGATCCTTAAACGAAAATGCTTGCTGTTAAGGTGGTAAATTAGACTGGAAGAGATTACTTTCGCAGCCGCGTTGGATGCAACTTTGCCGGCCAGCGAATTCATTTCCTCGTCATGGGCAAGTCGATTCTCTTGCTTACGCTGTAACGCTTCCTGCCGCTTTCGCTCCATTTCTTCCTGATAATGTGCTCTTCACAAAATTCATACCGCAACTGACAATTTCAAAATGCGACCCGAAGAAACACTTAGTGAACTACCACTTTATCATAAAGTTGAAAGTGTATCTCTCAGATGCTTGGCTTCGTTCGAAAACATCCGCCAAATAAACCTAAAACTACACCTAAACCCCACTAAAGTGCATGTGAGCAAGCGATGAAAAGAAAACCTTGCGTTGTTGTTTCCGCAAAACACTCTTATCGTCGTCACGCCAATACGCATCCTCTTCAGCCTGTTTCTTCTTCTCAGCTTGCTCCTTCTTCACAGCCTCTTTACGTGAGCGCGCTGCCGCCGCTTTCGAATTCTCACCCGTGAACTTCTTCGGCATTTATATTCCAATAATCTCTTCTTATGCAATAGCCGATTACACTCTACACTTTTCTACTGAATATCATTCAAGATCAGCTTCATCAAACTTAGCAAACCGAATTGCACGAAATCACATGATATACCCTAGTACAAACATTACGCTTCCTAATTTTGTCAAAAATCTGAAAATATATTGCGTCGTTACAGCGAGAACAAGATATTATGAATGTCACAAAACTAAAATAATGAAAATGAAGAAATACAGCTGCAACGCCGGCACTACCAACTGAAGCCAATATGATGCTCATATAAGGAGAAGAAAATAATTCGACTACGCTAACGACAACAAATTTTTTATTCAATTCACCGACACAATAATGTTATAGATGTCTATTAAGTTTCGACACTTTGGCAGAATATTTATTCCCAAGAGATGAAATTTTCGACGACATTATTATTTAATTGGTATGTTGACAAATGATATGAATGATGATAATCGCATAGACCATACTATCTGTTAATATTCAGATTAAACGAACCATGTTGAAAACTCCATTTCTTGAAATATACATTATACCTGCGTGCCTAGACTCCAGGCACATCCCGCAATATCCTTCCTTCTTAGTTAATAAATGAAAATCACAAAGAAAGTAGTTAAAAAGAAACAAAAGATAATTATGATTATAGATATTAAAAATATTAAGTTGAAATGGCATTAAAGCAAATGAGACAAAAAATGGCATTCAAAGAATGAATGTTTTATCAGACCAAGACATTGAAAATGAGGTTTTTCGATGTTTGATTGGAGATGAAACATCAAAAAAGTGAATCGTAATGATGCTATCGAATAATCATTCCTTCAGAAAACAATTCGATACACTCGAAAAGGAAAACCCTCCCAACGAATACTTCAACAATAATGAAATAATAAAAGATGATAGGTCAACCGCTCAAACGTCCAATCTTCAGATCTGTCATGTTTTCGCATTCGACACAAGAAACGATCACGTCTACAATATAGTTACTCATACTAGATTGTAACACTGACAATTGCCAACTCGTCATTGAATCACCTCATCAGAACCAACCCTATCACTATGGTATTGAATTAATCCAATTACAATTTAACAAAATTAAGTCTGTGTTATATATGAAAAGTCCAAGAAGGTGAGTTCATGAAAAAATTCTAAAAGTGACTCTGAATATCTAAAAGTTATCCTCCAAAATTAACATCTTTTCAAAGCTACACACAACAGAAATAAGAGATGAAGACAGAATAAATATGCCTCGAAAACAGAAAAAAATGTTTCATAAATTTATACATAAAGCGAAAGTGAAGACTCTAATGCATTAAAAGATCACATAGTTTAGAAAATGAACAAATGAAGCAAATAAAAATTACAATGAAGCACAATAAAAGAGAAAATTTAGATCGTTGGATTAAAAACAAAAGCACATTGAAGTATATTCTAACGAATGTTTAAATATAAGAACTGTAATGACAAGAATATTGATAACAATGCTACAAAACAAAATATTTATTTATAGTAAAAAATAATGAACTCTTGTTGAAGTAAAAATCATTTGAGGTTGCGTTCACAATCAATTCCTTAATCTTCTGGGAACAACTCAATATATCGACTTCCTAAAAGAATGGTGATTATTCATGGGATGAGATAATGCAAGCGATGCAGATGAAGTATTTAGAAGCAAGAAGTACACATTATTTGATCCAGTACCGTGATAAGATTTCGCTGAATCATACAGCAGATAAATTTCAGATTCACTTTTAAAATACAAGTAGTAACAAGCTGTCGTATGAAATAGTCTCGCAAAAGTTTTAAACGCAACGTTGATAACTTCTTCATTTTTTAGCAACCCAAATGCACAAATATTACATAAAGCAAATTACCCAAATGCTTTCGATCCCTCCTAAGTGCGTCTTCTCTTTCAGAAAAGCTGAAAAATTCAACCACCGCCTCACCGCTTGGTCGTCCAGAGCCGTATTCATTCAATATATCAATTGCGCCCGGTCGCAGTGGATAAAAAAACTTAAAAAGACTTCAAATCGTATTTCAACACAATTTACGTGAATTCATAGTAGCACAATGAAGGCACAAACTATTCACGTATCCAATAAGACTTTCCATACACAGAAGCGATATGAGGAGACAAAATCTTGAATCATCAGTGGGTTTTTAAGACAAAAAATTGAACTGAGTAGTTTATTTTTTTGAATTTCATTTTTTAAATCGCTAACAAAAAGTCACCGCAATTTTTACTCATTCAATCGATAATCACATGGGATTGGATAACGATTTATTGAGATTGAAAATGAATGGAAGAGAATTTTCATGTGATAATGAAATGCATGATGTTTATAGACATGAACTAAAGAAATGACTCACATCAACTATGTCGCGCTCAGTAGCACGATAAGGCAGTCCACGCATTCGTACAAAGAAGCTGTCAGCAGCATAACGCCTCGATCTGGACAAAGGAGCATGTGAACGTTCCTCTTGCCAAACCTTTCGCATCGGTCCCCCACCAAAACGTGAACCATATGGCTCTGAGAACGCATCGCTACTTCCCCATGAGTCTGCAAGCCTAACTAACCCGTGTTTGCACAATGTCACCAACTCCCTCATAGCATGCCCACATCATTTCTATTTTCATTGACCCTTGGCCCTCCCTTCCCTTCTCTTCCTTCCTTCACCTCTCCGTTGTTCTACCCAACTACGAAATATTCTACCAATCATCCAAATCCAACCCATACATGACGATACGATCACCCACCATGACGTCTCGAACGGCCTGACCCATAGCCCCGAGATGCATAGTTCGATCCACGCTCATAAGGAGACACTCGTGGTTTGCGCCAACTGCTACCATTATCGCGTCTACTTTCTTCTACGTCAAGTGCATGCAACATTTCACCATAAGTTGATGGAAATACCTCAATATATCTGAAATTTCATATTCAAATTAAGACACTCCAAACGCACATTGCACTCGCTTATTTCTCTACTAACAACAAAAAAAAAAGTGAAGATCAAGCTGATTTTTTAAATCTTTCGGAAGCGTACTTTACAATTAGTGTTTACGCTAGATGCTAATGCTATATACTGCAAAAACAATAAAACGCCATGAAATGAAAATGTTTCACATTCTTTGAGTGATAAGAAGGATGGCACTGAAGAAGTGACAAGAAATGTTCAGTCGATTAGACTGAAATGACGAAATGCTAGGCAGATGACCTATGTTGAATGTTGTTGCGATTGCGTTCCAAAGCGCGACTCGCTGAACCAATTTCATAAAATGCAACAAATGCTTCACCAGTTGCTTTACCACTTCGATGGTCGTATGGCATTACGATTCCTTGAATCATTTTTTTTTCAAATTTCTTACTTAACTCTTCAAAATACGAAACAATCGTTAACAACATCATCGGTGAATTTCATTTAAATTTGACAAATTTTATAAAAAAGAACCACAACAAACAAAACTTTCAATGAATATCAATCATTTGTTACGAATTTTTCGATATATTAGAAGTGTTGTGTGGTGAAAGTGTTACTACAGAAATAGAAATGTAGTGCTCCGATTTTCGATTCTAGTATTTTGTCAATAGTCAACATTTTTTGTAATGTAGAGGCGCAAAACTTTTTGCTGCATTCACAATGAGGCGAAAAGCGAAATAATAAAATGGAACTGTCATAGTTTATTTTTTTCCATTCTCCTTCCCATTCTCTTTTTTTGCTCGTTCTTTTCCCACTTTTTTCTAAGTTCCAAGAATTGGAAAGGGGAGGGGGGGGGAGGGAGGGTAGGAGAGAGAGAGGGGAGGCGCGCATCCTTGCAACCTCTTCTTGTCACGCCCTTGTCAAAAGTTACAAATGTTTCATTAATATGTTGACATTTCAATCACTTTCAACACCTACATGGTAAGTTAATAGCACTACATATCACTGAACCATCTTATAAAACATTTCTTGATAAAGCAAAGTGAACATAGCGAATACCATTATCAGCAATGGGGATGGGCTGAAAAAATCTGACAATTTCATCATTTGTACATCCGTACGGAAGACCTCGTAATCGTACAATTGATGTATCCCGACCAGGTAAAGAAATGCCCGTGCGAAGCCGCCGTTCTGGTCCGGTTATGTTATATTCAACATCACTTGCCGATGCCGCGAATACCTATCAGTGAAATATTCATCTTGAAAATGTATCCGTTCGGACGAGTAAAGGAAAGGATTATATGCAGACGAACTTATTCCAACACACACATAATTTTTCAGTGAAATTGCAAGTGTTTAGGAGGATGTAAAATATATACATATCAGAAACGCAGACTAAGCTTTGCGAGTATCACCGTATTCATCGTTAAGTCGACGGAATGATTAATGATCTTTTAATTACCTCCACATAGCGCTTGCCCATGTGCTGCTTATCTTTAGTGAGTGCATACTCGTAATCTTCTTCATTCTCAAACGTCACAAACGCCTCACCACTTGGTCGGCCGTCACGATTCTTTGTCAACATTATTTTAACGATCGATCGAGCTGCGGCTGAATATGAACAGCTTCAATACAACCGCATAGAAACGGAATCCTCTTCGGTGAATGAAAGAAATATAACTGTACGGAATAACCCAAGGAAAAGAATGCGGAGAAAATCTGTTGTTCAAAGATGTTTGCTCTCGGATATGCTATTAAAAATGTGGCATGAACCGTTTCCCGATTCAATATTTTCCAATCATTATGTCATATACAATCAAAAAATTATCAAAAGATTAAAAATATTTAAAATAGACGGTTTAGAAGAGGAGTAGAGAAGGCCAAGAACGAGATGAGTGGACCCAGTTTGCAAGGTGACCGGCCACAAGTGGACGCAGAATATGGTAAACGGTGATACTTTTGTGCTATTAAACAAGCATTCACTGACAATGAATATCGATAAATAAATGACTGAATGAAAATAACTTTAACTTCTTACGTTCAAAAAATGATCTGAGCTCATCCTCGGTACAAGACCACGGTAAGCCACGACATTTAATTACAAGATCTCTACGAGCCATCTTCTTGATTAACAGAACACTGAAGTAGAACGCAATTTGTTCATATGGTTCTGGAACTGCGATTTATCAGAGGGGAGAATGTTCGTGCGGAGAAAAAATTTCTGCGCAAATTCACGACTCCAAATCAGTTTTATTCTTTTCACTTCTGGATTATAGCTGGGAGAAACTGTTCAAAAATTCCATCTGCATCGAGATCTTCAAACTCAAGCAATTTTTAGAAGTTCGTCCAAACTGGCATAAATGATAACATAGCGAACTCACGTTCGGAATTGATTAAGATTGATCTTCAGTGAAAGTCCTTTGAACCAGCAGGAAAAAACATGAAGTCTACCTCCAAGGCCTGAAACGTGTAACCACAAACTGCCTGAAGTGCATTTTAAAACATCGCTGAGCTCGAAATCACGCAATACATATAGTGTTTTAAAAACTCGCTGGTGATACTGTAGCTGGTATTTAAGCACAAGAAAGTACGTTCCATGCCGAGAAATGCTTCACATTGAAGACACGAGCTTCGGCAACTGCTGAAAGTCGGCCGTATGAGTAGGACTTATACGGGCGCGTTTTCGAGGGCTGTTTGAAACAGTTCGCAATATGGAATAAATCTTAGTGGTAACGTTGCATTTCAGGCTGGTAAAATCACAGCGGCATTTCGTTCCTGTGAACATTTCTTGCTGTGGTTTAATGATAAGTTACATTATCAACTGCTAATGTAAACGAAACGACGTTTTGATTTTATCAAAAAAAAAATACAAAATTACCATCTCAGCTTGAGTCCAAGGTAATCCTAAATCAAACCCCGAAAAGGGAAAGCCTAAACCTCAACTGCACGAAAACACCGGCCATTCATATTGCGGTCTGCCTCGAATAGGTTTCAACAACTAGAGCCGTGCAAATTCGGCTCGTACGGCCAACCTTTGCCCCAGTAGTTGCCAATACTTCCTCATATTCTCCTACAAGCATGACTCAGCATCTATAGCACATGCACAGAGAGTTAGTGAGGCTTGTGCGAAGCAAGTTAATTTGACGGGTCTACGACAAATCCGTCCGCGACCAATCCGTACTACGTCATTTTGAAGCGCATAGTCGGTCAGGAAACTTCGTTTGGGTTCGACTTTTGAGCAATGCGTAAGCATGTTCACCGTCGTGTGCTTCAGTTATAAAACGCGTATTACTCAATATATTACGATCTCTTATATTCATCATGAGTACGATCGCTCCTGCAAACGGTCGCCTGAACTGCAGGACTTCGGGGCAAACCTGGGGTTATGTCCTCTGATGAACCGCAGCAGAATGCGGTGCATTAGTAATGCTTCCATTAATTAAGATATGTAAATAGCTGTCACTAAGAGCTCAGTTGATTTTCTGCAGTGTGAGTGAATACAACAGATAGGAAAAATTCATTTATTTTTCAGTCTGTATAAACCCTTTCGTATAAAAACAAACAAATCCACAATTAATATTAAATCACAAAACAAATATTTGAAGCAATGATGCAAAACAATAAACACTTCTGAATAAAATGGATCAAATAATAAAATGATAATGAAATGCATGAGACCATGGAAATTCAACTTTGGTGGAACAACAACAATAGATTGAGGGGAAAGGCTGAGTGAGACCAGAGCTTTAGCACGTTTGAAATGGGCAACTTCACCGGTCAAAAAAATCCACGCTCAACCTGAAAAAAAAAGAACCATTTTCCGTTTCCATTATAAGACACATTGTTAGATCCGTTGAGGTGGAGAATGACATGACATAAACTGACGTACATCGACAATTCGAAATGAACACTCATCCTGATATTGTTTCATCTAATAACTGCCCATATTCGGCAATCTTTTCCTTCAGGTTCGAGATATCATAAGGTGGTAATATCAAAACAACTGCCAATAGGAATATCATCAATAATCTTCAACTACTCAATTAAGTTCACTGATTACTAACATCACGAACGTGTCACGCGTAAACAATGATAAAACCATGATAAATACTCTCCAAATACATCACACATTCTACACTTCCCGATACAACTTCACAACGGTAAACATCGAACCCAAGCGAAGTTTCCTGACCAACTATCCACTTCAAAACGACATGGTACGGATTCGTCGCGCACGGATTAGTTGGTCACCCAATTCGATTGTATATTGAATGCGCTTGTTTTTAAAACTGTGTTCGCTCATTCAAAACGCACTTTGTAAATGGAATGTTAAAATCCTCATCCGCCAATCTCATTCGCCTGAGCACAATGGCGTAAAATTCAAACTACGAAATCAGTCTCTCACTTTTACACTCCTCAAGGTCTGCTTATTGTTATAGAGATAGCACTGCTTTTTCGATGTCAGTCGGAGAGAAAGAATCAAAAAGTATTCGTACAAGTGTGAAACTTACAAGAACTCGATTTTCCCAGATATCAGTGCTGGAGTGAAAATCATCTTGCCACATAAACTCACAAGTCATACTAAATGAAGAAGTTTTACTCAATTCATTTCAAATCGAATGCATTATAAAAGACACAAGCATGTTCAACTACAATAAGCCATTATTTTGATGATAACAAAATAAACTAAATATTGTGAAAATACAACGAAATGAACTCAATTGTGAAATACCATTTTAATGTATCAAAACAATAAGAACAAACAAAACACCGCTATAATACTTCTTAATTCTAAATCAAACCACAGTGATTTGTACTTCATCAAAGTCCGCAGCCCGTCGTTGGCAACGAGATCATCTTTCTGAAGAAATTCTATAACAAATATAAATAAAAAATCTAGCTGATTTTCAACTGTGTTCCTTCTGGCGAGGTCACGACAACTGCTGAATTAAGAACCGAAACCGATTTTAAAGAAACCCCAAATAGAAAGAGAAACTAATTTTCCCTTCTACAAGCTATCTAGTAACTGATTTTGCTTTGTTGATGGCTAACAGACTCTTCGACTTGAGTCAGACTGTAATATGTATGGTAATGAAATTTCAGGAATAGTACATTTACCCATAGGCGAAACCTTTTCTGTGAGTTGGATCGGATGAAACCGTTCAGAACTAAAACTAATCATTGAAAGAATTTAATGGAATAGTGAATAGCAACACGGTGAAATGTCAAAAAATTGTTGTGGTATTCTTATTTAAAATGAGTTTGGAGTGGAAAACAGAGCTATCAAGTCATGTAATCCCATTTCGGTTTTCACATTAAGTCAACATCATGCCAACGTCTCTTCAAGATGAGGAAAATGGTTATTTCTTCACTACTGAGACTCATATTTTATTGTCAAATTTTGTGAAATTATTTTTGGAAGCTATTGAGCTTGTGGACGAGAGCCTTTGTGCTCTAATTACCACACAAATTCAATTGCTAGTGTGTGCGAACGAAATACCATTCATTTGTTATTTGTTACCATCATAATAGCGTGTTTTTGAAAAGATCTTCATTTTCGTGTCAATTCCTTGTCTTTTTAGGCGTTCGGGTAATATTGCACTTTAAGTCGCAGATGAAAGAGGTGTGGCCCAACACACACATAATACGCATGGATGAAGACATTGTGCCACACCTCACCTCTCTGCACGTGTTTACAACTGTTTTTTTTTTTCGAACGCGAAGAAAGTAATGTTAACTGAAATGGATCCACACTGCTATTGTGCCGTATAAGTGGAAAGTATACCAGTACCAGCTGAAACGAATCTATATTCAACAGCATTCACCTGAACTGCAGAATTCACTTGCAAACGAAAAGTAACGGAAGATAGTGGAAATAGCTCGCTGAAGCGCTAACCAGAGACGGTAGCGAAACCTGTCGCCAAAAATTTCCGCTATTTGAAAACGGTAGCGCGCTATTGCCCATGTCTGATAATAATGATAATGATAATAATAATGATAGTAATAGTAATAATAAACGATGTCTTTCAACTCATAACCGCCTTAACATCTCATGTGTGCTGCACCGTAAGTTGATACTGTGCAGTAGTGTTCGTCAGGAAGCAGTTTTTCGGACGGGGGGAGTTCCCGAGGGGAGGAAACTGGACGAGGGGGTCCCCACAAAAAAGTCGGGGAGCGATTTGCGCGGTGGGGACTCCCTCGGGGAATGACCGCTCCCTGTGTTGCTCGACGGGGAAGGCGGGGAGCATTTCAGCTCAATTTTTTGATGGAATCTCAATTTTTGAATGATTTTTCTTCTTTTTCCCATGAGTTTTTTTGAAAATTCAAAATAGAATTTGGGATTTTCAATTTTTTTTCAAATTTCAAAAAATTCAAATTTCAAATTCAAAACAGAAAATTTTCAAAACGTTTCAGCTTTTTAAATAGAACTTTCCTTCCCGATGTACACCTTTGGGAGTGAAATGAAATCATTTATCAACGATTACAGCTTTAAATGACATGTTACTACCATTCAAAAACCTCACAATAAATTGGTTTTATTTTATTTACATCTCTATGGAGTGAAAGTGGACGAGAGGGGTACCCGGGAAAAAGTCGGGGAGCGGATCGCCCTGGGCGGTCTCCGCGGGGGGAAAACTGGACAGGGGGTCCCAGCAGAAAAGTCGGGAAGCAAATTGCGCGAGAGGGCGCCCCCCGAGATCTTCATCGGATTCCCCGACGAACGCTACTGTGCATTATGGATCCATTTCAGTTAGCATTACTTTCTTCGCGTTCAAAAAAAAGAACAGTTGTAAACACGTGCATAGAGATGTGGCACAATGTCTTCGTCCATGCGATGGCTGATGTGTGTGTTAGGCCACACCCATTTCCTCCACTCGAACAGCAGAATCACCGATAAATTTTCTATTCTTATAAAATGATGAAAAGAAATTTCGTATGTAAACTGTCAATGAGCATAAGCAAATTCAATTCTTTTTTTGGCATTGTATATGGTGTGTGTGCGTATATTTGTTATGATATTATGCAAACACAAATGTTGCCAGTCAATGTATTATGCATTCGATACTTTACTCATGCTGCTTTCTTCAAAGTATTCGTTCTCGAGGACAGGTATACACGCGCATAACAGTACCTTGTGCATTGTTGACCACTTCAGGTTTAGGTAGATATGCGAAATATATTCCACCAATGAAAATAATTTTGAAGAAAAAATTATCATATTATGTGAAAATCAGAAAAACATGGAAGTGGCGATCGTTTGCGTTTGTATGACACTAGATTTCTCATTTCTTAGCGGTTTATGAGTACGCATCTCGATTTGTCGACTTCACTTAAGACCGTCGAAATCCCGTTGCCCATGTAAGCCAAAATGAACTTGTTTATGTGTGATGTAATGTTTGTAAAATATACGCATGTTTTGCATATATGCCAATGATAACATGAAATTATCAGTCGTCTTATCTATTATCTTTATTCACTTTACACCTCGAGAACGAGACATTCATAGTGAAAATTTAACACAAAAAATTCCAATGCAGGAATCCATTTCAAGAATGACGGAAGTAGGGAATTTTGCAATCAAATCAATGTGTATGCAAACAAAGTGAGGAAAAAGATGAAATTCTTGAATAACACTTATCGTTAAAATTACCGTAATCATTCGATTGAACGTTACTGAATGAAATGTAACGATAGAAAATTTCATGAAGCAGCATTTTATGCGAGCAGTTATGGAGTTGTCGTGTAAGTGGGAGTAAATGTTAGATTTGGTTCCTGGTTGTAGAATGGGTAATGCGGATTGTTTATGACAGGCATCAGTACTTCGAATGCTATCGATATTGTGATTACCGCAAGCGTATAAAGTATGCAGAAAACGATCAGTTCATTTCCCTGAAAATCAAGTTACAACTTATGACGTAATGGTAGTTCATTATTTGATATGTGCCTCCTTTCTAGTCAGATCACTTTGAACACAATATGAATGTATCGGATATAAAAACGGTTGCATTATGTGAAGAGCGTGAACACTTTCTGTCAGTAACAATTATTTGGGATGACGCATTCAATTGAAGTTTCTATATCGCCCAGTTCTGTTCTTCATTTATTTCTTATTTCTCTACCTACCTTATTGCCTTATGCACCACCTTACTTGACTCCTTCTTAGTTTCATGTATAAAGAATCCAACTGTCTTTCATTCAAGCTTGATTATAATCAGCCTTCCTAGACTATCTGAGACGCTGGAAGATTTGAAGAAATATATTCTTGAAATAACCTTCAAAGTGATTTCATTTTCCGGCTTATCCTCTTCATCCGTCCAGCCACACATTCAAATAGTTTATTGATAGTTATTTTTTTAAGAAGTTTTCCTGAAAGACAAGATATCATCAGTTTCCAGTTTTGCTAATTTCGATAAATCAGTGGTACATCGTTTCGCGGCTGATATCGGTGACATTCCAGAGTTGTTCATAAGCAATTCCAGCTATCAGATAAATATAATGTAATGAGCAACTTCATTTGAAGCAAATGACAATTGTAAGAAACGATTCAAAATCATATAACTTCTTAGCAAACGAGCGTTATTGAACAACAAAGTAATGCAGTAATGGTGAGCGTGATGCCACTGGATGAACTCAAAATGAATCAGAAGTCTTATTCAACAATTACTCCTCTTACTTTCATCCTAATCTCTTATGCAAACAACACAATTTCTTTTTTTTCTTCAGTCTCATAAATTCATCATTTCTGTAGCGCTCCACTGAAACAGTATCATCAAAACAGCATTATGAACTTCATAGATCAAGAAATATCCCAAGCACTTAAGCAGTAATCAGTTCATTTCATTCTCTTTAAACTTCATCCAATGCTCAACAACTTCACCAAAAATGATGTACCAAATGATTGTCATTACAATATTACGTTATAATGAATTCCTTGCTTGAATTAGTCCTGTTTTTTTCTACCGAATTTAGTGTCTCTGCTAAAGTAAATTTGAATATTGGTTGTTCAGATGCTCGACGATTTTGAATAGGAATGCTACTAGTTTTCGAATATTTCATCAAATTATTAATCATATTAAATTCATCTCATGCAGTCATTTCTTCATCATTCCATCAATCTTCTGATTCAACAGAACCAAACCTCAACGTGAGTTTTCTGATATTCTTGATCCGTATATTATGCACTATTTCGTTTTCATTTTTCATAATTCGATAAAATCTTTACATCTTATGGCAGTACGACAAATCCCAAAAATTTCCCGTCAAAAACATATTTGCTATATTCATAATTTATAGCTTTTTTGGTGTTGCAAATTTAATGATCATTTTCCTGGAAAAAAATCAGCGATGAGTTCTGTTTAAAATCGGAAAATTGCGTTTGGAAGAAAACAAGCACTAGAAATCGGTTGATGAAAATGAAACGATAAGGTTGATTTCAATATGAATTTATCGAGTATTTACTTGTAAAAAATGTGTTATGAACTTTTTTTTTGCATTATTATTTAATGTTGATGAATTTTTGCAGGATGTATTCCTGACTAGCGATAATACAAAAAATCCACTCATTGCCTTGATGCCCACCCCGATTGATTCAGGTTTTAATTGTCGCCTTCTTCGTTGAATCTAATTAAGCAGTTTCTTCGGATGAAATGAAAAGAGAGCAAGAAAGTTGACAAAAAAATTGCCTAACAACTGTTTTTCTTTTCACTAAATTCTTCTAATAAACTAAATGAACCGTAAATGGCCAGTGTTTTTAGGCGCAAGCTCAAGGTTTCACTAGCTCCATTTATGAGTAACTCAAATTTTGGACTGTTTTCGCAGTTGCTTTAAACAACGATGATCATTCTTAATAATGAATGTTATCTAGTAACTTTCATTGCATCCTTTACGTCAACAGTCACGTATTCAATGGTTTTCTGTTATTCGTTACTAGAGATTGCTTATAAGTGCAAATTCAAACCAAAGCTCAAATTCAAATATGAGCTTGCCTCTTCACAAACCAGTTCTTTTTTTGTATGGAATTTCAATAAATACACTCATCCATGTGCATATTATATTGACATACAATATCTATTCTCTTGTTGTCGAAGAATCGTTTCGAAAATTTTTGCTGGAATGATGCAAATATATCAACACTGTTCTCTTTCCATCAAAATCCTACATATGAATTCAATTGCCATGTTGTTTATAAGTAGGTGATTCTAAATTCCCTTAACATATTATTGAACGGGTACAAACAATGGCTACAGTTTTCTGGTTCAGATGACTTTTCGATATTCTGTTGACTGTCAGCAAACCCATTAGCAGCAAAAGCTTGAGTTTTGGTTTATCAGGTGAAATTTACAGAATATTTTTCCCTCTATAATCAGTAAGTGCTCGTTTTCGAGTTATACATCGAATAGAGCATCAAGATGATAAGTTCAATTAAACGAGAACATTATGAATGGTCACCGATCATTGATTGTGAATTTAGGAAGTGATCAGTCTGAGACAGATGACTCTTCGATGAATACAAGTAATGAACACTTCAATATTGAGGAGGAAGAAGAGGAGGATGGAGGTGATAGTGATGTGAGTGAGGAAAGGTTATGTTTTTGTGGTTTGATTCATCCTCTCGAACTAATATTTTCGTACGTAAATTTTTGAGACTAACCAAAGACATTGAGGGAATTTTTATTTGAAATGTTTGCTTTTCAGTTTGACTTTAGATTTGTTTATTTTAATAGATTCGTAACTTGCCCAATAACGAAGCTGTGAATGAACCGACTCAATGCCGATGAAAATAGTTAAAGAGCAGTTCAAGAGTTTGTTATTGAGAGGCGAAATTAACAGCAAAAACAAAGTTGAATTAAATGTCACTGAACAGCAATAGTAAGAGAGATATGTTTGTTTTAGAAATCAAGAAGATTTCGCAGAAGAGAAGCTATCACAAGCTCGTTTGCCAGGTGCGATCGACTCTCAACAACCATCCGATGCTGTCTCACTGATATTTAATTCGTTCAATAATCGAAAAACATTCAGTTGTCCTAAAATTAAGACTGATTTTGTTACCGGTACCGATATCGCTGATCTAAGTCCCGAAGATGTTGGTATGATTGCAGCTATGGGTGATTCATTGGCGGTTCGTTTCTGTTCATCATATCCCATTAATTTACCAAATTACAACTCATTATTCGGTGCTAGGTCATTTCGCCTAACGACATTTCGCCTAACGGATGGTTCAGAAAGGGAACTGCTTTCCACATATAGCCGCAGCGTTACCAAAGGTTCGGCCGCAGCTTAGAGGTGGACCTCAACCTGAACCCAATTGTGAGCCTCAGCCTAGGCCTAGGCATCAGCTTCAGCCTAGGCCTAAGTATTAACCTGACAAAGAAGGGTCACAAACTTTTTGGACGAGTAACATATAAAATAAAGCCAAGAAAATCAAATCCGCGCCCTACAAAGCCAAGAGAATAAACAGTGTTTAGTGTACAAATATTGTGTAACTAGATTGCGAAATAAGCAATCCCAAGAACTTCCGAAAGCAAGGCCAGGGGATTGCACAACTCTTGAATGCTTAGAGCTAATACTCCCGGCCACGCATTAGGCGATAGGCGTCCATTATAGGGTGTCCATTACGCGAAATGTCCACTGGACAAAATGTCCATTAGGTAAAATGTCGTTAGGCGAAATAACCGAACACGCATTATTCATGATAATGTTGTACGGGGATGGAAAAAAAGTTGGGGACGGGGAGAATCGGGGACATTTCAGGGACGGAAACAGTCCCCGAAAATGGCCGCAGCTCGAAAATGGTCGGGAACGAGGAGTTTCGGGGAGAAAACTCAATCTCATCCCCGTCCCCGAAATTCTCCAAAGATGTAACTTTGGAACTAGAGTCAGCAGGACCTTGAAAACAGGATTTTTTGATGAAAAAGCATTGAAATAAGTAATCTTTAGACTAGGAAAACAGTAACTGCGAAGGCACAATGTAATTCTACTTACAGTATTTTATTCAAATATTAACAGTGAAAAGAATGATAAAAATAGCAATAAAGCAGCACCGATGTTAACATTGAAACTGCATCGGATAGTCATTAGTGTCATGTGCAGATTTGTTCCATCGACTTTCTCGAAGTCGAATGTTTTGTATTGATCTGTGATAAATACAATGTCGACCACTGAGCTACCAAAATGGAAGAAGGGTCGTACGTTGCTTTTCCACTCACTCATAAGATTGCCTACTTCGGTTAATTTCTTTTCAACCGTTTTCGA